TGCTTCTTACAGATGAAATCGAGCTAATAATTTAAGCCTTAAAGTAACAACACTCGCTGTTATATATGGCATTGTATCAGTCATCACAACAGTAAATCATTGGAAGGAACGAACGTGTAATTGAGCGCTCTGAGGCCGACCATGTGTTCGTCTGGAAGCGAAATTTCAACTTGTTCGCCATATGTAAATTTGGGTATTGTGGGAAAAATTGCTTTCCCACCATGCTCCGAGCGCCATATACCAATTAGCCATGCAATTGGTTGTAAATGAGGCGGAACGCGCGAAACATCGAACTCTGCATGGTCCTTTCAATATTACACAGTAATGCCATTAATATGGATTTCCCATGTCAGTCACCTGGGTACTCTTGGTATTCTCGGCAGTCAATAAGCCTTTTGGAGGCAGTTTTTTTGTGAAAATGTCAGAAAACTTTTGGATTTGCTGTATTATAAAAAACAGTGTGTTGCCTTTCGGATTTAATGACACTATTCTGCCGAAATACTTCCAATACTAAGATTACCAGGGTCGTTCGGGCTATCAGTGTAGGTATCCTTGATAGTGATGCTACTAGGATAATCCCACACTCCGAACGTAGCTATTGCCAGGCCCTTCGATCCTGAACGGGCGATGGGTAATAATGCGAAAGGGAGGAGGGAGGGTGTTTTCCGACTGGCTGCTTACTTTCGCGTGACTACCACCCACCAACGCACAATTGGTCGTAATGGCAAGTAACATGTCCTGCCCATCGAATTTTACTTTTTCTCGTGGTCGCAATGATATCCTGCATACTGCTCATTTGAAAGAGAGTCTGACTGTTTACGTGGTCTTGGAAAGATACGCCAAGCACCTTTCGCTCCGTCGCTCCCTCCGTCAATACCAGACTCGCCTCTTTGCTTTTGTGAATGGCCACTTTTCTCGTCAGTACATCAGTGCTTTCAACGCAGCAGTATAAAAGCGGTAGGCACGGTCCTTTCGATTCGACACTTTGCAGATATCAGCGACATGTGGGATTTACGCTAAGTGGCGATTTTTCGACTTGCAGTTTCCAGTTAGGAATTATGACGCATATTTGCTTCCCTTCCTCACTACACGTTTCTGCAATAAGCAGCTATGGGTCTGAGGTAGATGAATAAACAAAACACCCAGTATGTTTTTTGTCACATTACAGTGGTTCTTTGGTCAATTAGTCGAATAACACTATGCATCCTAATCATGAAGGATGAAATGACATTCTGCATGCTGCAACTGTTTGGCATAGTGCTGAATAGCGAGGTTAAATCCTTGGTCTCTGAATTAATACGCAGAAGCAGCGAACACTGAGGGCAAAAGGGATTCGACGAACAACTTAGTATATAATGTGGGGTTTTACTGTAATTGCCGAGACCAAGATCAAGAGGTTCTGAACGGAAAGTTCAACAATGAGTGGTAAACATCCGAATTTACAATTCTGTCAATGAGAAGGGATTTGAGCCTGAGAATTAAAGTCAGATAACAGGGAACTGGGCTGGAAAACCTGATAATTCACAGAATATTAGCTTTTTATCCTTCCAGTTTTGCATTTGATATACTTGTCAAAAAAAATTGTTCTACTTGGTTGAACTGTCCCACGACAAAATCCACACGATCTGGGGCACGTTTTGATAATGTAGTCAGTGGTCTGGCAGAGTGAGGCTTGTGATGTGATCCAGTCTTGACAGTTCTTATCCATGTCCAAGCAACCTTGACCTAAATATATCAAAGATTAAATTCAGGTGTATGAGATAATGAGGCTGATGAAAAAAGGTTCAGAAGATAGATTATCCAGCAAAGGAAACAGCATAGAGTGTTTCTAGAATTCGAAGCAGTATTATTGAGCAGTATGTTCAGTTGTACACCCATTTTCAGAAACGGCTGCTTTAGAGCCAGTGTGGCAGAGCTCCAGCCGCGGAATTTCCATGAAGAACTGGCAGTTCTTAAAAGTATAATATAAACGCGGCTGCGATATATTCAGACTA